ATGGCTTGTGCATATGGTAACTCTCCCAAGGGGGCACAAAGCTGACATTGATAAACTAGTTATTTTACTACCAGAAAGTTCTACTACGCCATAAGTGGCACTAAGATGGTCAGAATGAATGACTTCCAGCTGCCTAGAAACAACTGGTCTTCTTGAACACTCTTTAGGTAGCAAGAATTCTGACTGATATTTTCTTATTCACTTGTCAAGTCATCTGAATTTATTATTTAACTCTATGCTAATTCTTTACATTGGATCAATGACTAATGTCAACCTGATGAAGGCCCTGCCTTACACCAAAAACCAAAGCAGCCTGACTCTAACAAAGTTTATACTAACATGATTTCCATTAGCAGAGGCAGCTTATCTCAGTAAATGACAGAGAAGTACTGGAAAGAAGATAAGAGCAGATTTAACTGACATACATTGATTGCTCCATACCAGGAACCATGCTGAGTGTTTTCAGACATATTATCTCACCAGTTTTACAACCATCCTTCCAAGTAGGTATTTTGTTGAATCTGTGTTACATACAGACTGACTCACACTGGATTATTTCATTATCACTTCATCCATAAATACATCAGAATTAATATCTAAAAAGTGATAGCTTCTTAAAAATAAAGTAACAGCAATATCATTTTCACATATTAAAAAAAAAAAATCAACATTAATTCCTAAATACTATCAAATACCCTTAATTGTTAGTTTGGATAAGGATTCTAACATGCTACACATTTTACATGATGCGTCTCAAATGCTCCTCCTCCTTCTCTTCTCCTTGCAATTCAGTTGTTAGACACTAGGTTGTCTGTTCTGTAGAATTCCCCACATTTTGGATTTTTGTGATTTTATCCCTATCGTGCCATTTAACATGTTCCTCTGTCCTCTGGATTTCCTGCAAAGCAGTAGTTCTAACTGGAGGCTTGACCAGATTCAAATTCAATTTTTAGACAAGGATGGCTTGAGTGGCAGTATGCTCTTCCTATTGTGATGCAAACACTGATCAATGAGTTCAGGTGTTGTCAGACTGACCCAGTTATCAGGAACTTCCCTACCAATTTTTCATCTGATAGATTTAACAGCCATTGATGACCTTTACTTAGATTCATTCTATCATTAGGAATGGTAAAATGATGACATTCTTTTCTTTTTAACCAGATTTACCGAGGTATAATTTATACAGAATAAACTTTATCTTTTTAAATAAATAGTGTTACAAGTTTGGATAGATGTATGAAGTTATGTAATTACAACAAAAATTAAGATATAGAATGTATTGATCTGTAAAAGTTCTGCAGTAAATCCCTTCCTTCCACCCCACCTCCTGGTAAACAATGATCCATTCTGGCTTTCCTAAAATGTCATATAAATAAATGGAATCTGTGTGATGTTTTGTGTGTGGCTTCTTTCACTTAGCACAATGCTTTTGCAATTCATCCATGCAATGAGCATTAGTAGTTCTTTTCCTTTTACCTACTGAGTGGTGGTGAAAGTATGGGTACAACAACAATTTGTTTATCCATTAATAAACTAATGAGTATTTGGGCTAAGCTATGAACATTATAGTACAGATTTTCATATGGGCTTAAATTTTCAATTCTGTGGTAATTGGTTAGAAGAATTCTATATGTATGTAAGAAACTGTCAACTGTTTTTTGAAGTGTCTGTACAATTTCACATTTCCACTAATTAGTTGTTCTATATCCTCACCTTTATTTAGTACTGGAAGTTTTTTATTTTAGCCATTCTAGTACATGTGTTATAGTGGCTGTCATTTTAATTTGCTTTTTCCTGATAACTAGTGATTTGATAATATTTTCATATGCTTATTGACCAATCATATCATTTTTGATGAAGTGATTACTCAAATGTTTTGTCCATTTTTAGATTGTCTCCTCATCAAGAACTACATTATGTAGTTATTACCATTTTATTATTCATGTTTTTTATCTTATTTTTTCTTCTTTAAAGAAGTCTCTTTAACATTTCTTGTAATACTGGTTTGGTGGTGATGAACAACTTTTGCTTCTTATCTGGAATGCTCTTTCTTCTTCATTCTCAATGATACTTTGCTGGGTAGAGTAATATAGGTTATAGGTCCTTTCTTTCCAACAATTTGAAGTATTTCATGCTAACCCCTTCTGGCCTGCAAAGTTTCTGTTGAGAAGTCAGCAAACAGTCTTATGGGAGCTCTCTTGCTACTTTTAAGATTCTCTCTGTCTTTAAACTTTGACATTTTAATTATGATATATCTTGGTTAAGCCTCTTTGGGTTTGTCTTGTATGTCTTATTTCTTTGCCAGGCTAGGAAAGTTTTCTCTCATTATTTCTTTCATGAGGTTTAATTCCCGTTTTCTACTCCTTCTGGTACTCCTATGATGTGAATGATAGTATGCTTGATGCTACCCAGAGGCCCCTTAAACTATCCTCATTTTTTAACATTCTTTTTCTTTTGGTTGTTATGATTGCGTGTTCTCTGCTTTCTTATCTCCCAAGTTGCTGATTTGATTCTCTGCTTCATCTACTCTACTATTGCCTGTAATGTATTCTTCATTTCAGATAGTGTATCCTTCATTTCTGACTGGTTCTTTTTTATGTTTTCTACATCCATTTTTATGTTTCCTATCTTTTTAGTAAAGTTCTCAATGAGTTTATACACTCTTCCCCTAAGTTCACTGAGCATCCTATAACCAGTGTTTTGAACTCTGCATCTAGTAGAATGCTTGTCTCCATTTTGCTTAGTTCTTTTTCTAGAGTTTTGTTCTGTTCTTTCATTTAGGACATGTTTCTTTGTCTCCTCATTTTGGGTGACTCCCTATTTGTTTCTATGTATTACGTAGATCTGCTATGTCTTCTGGTCTTGGCAGAGTGGCCATACGTACTAGGTGCCCTGTGGGGCCCAGGGGATGCAGTCTCCCTGATTACATGAGTAGGGTGCTCCAGGTGTGTTCCTTATGTGGTTGTGTGTCCCCTCCTGCTGTAGTTGAGACTTGATTGCTATTGGAACATCGATAAGAGGGAATGACCTTCAGGTTGATTGGCTGTGAGGAATGACCACGATTACAGTGGAGGTGGTGTTGTGCAGTGGCTGACACCATGAAGCAGGAGTCACTTGAGGGGGGCTTTTGTGCCTGTTGAGTCTGTCCTCTGGGTATGGAGTATGTGGTTTGTAGAGGTGGTTGGATGGTACTCTGGTATAGTCTGAAGCTGACCACCAGGTGTGTTATTTCTGGGTCCTTGTGGGAGGGGCTCTGATACAGGCCAAGGTCAGCTGCTGCCTATGCCTGGCCTGGGCCACCTGGTATGAGCTATAAAGTGATCTGTAGAAGGTTGTCACTTACTGGGCTTGAAGGTAACCCGGGAGAGGCTAAGCTGGAAACCAAGGCCAACTGCCACTACTGCCAATTATGGGGCTGCTTACAGCTGAGGCCAACTGTTGCTTATTTGGGGTTTGTGAACCTTTGAGACATTTTAGGAAAGTCCCAGAGTGAGCTGAGATTAGATATTTGTATGGAAAAGCCACTGGAAGCGGTTTGAGGAAGCCTGCAAGTTGTGTGGGGTGGGGTCTCAGGGAATCACTAGGTGACTGTGTCAGTCAGGCTGATGGAGACTGAGACTTGGAGCCCACCCGTGTTTGTAGGCTCTGTGGGGGAAGGGCTCAAAAAAGAAAAATGTGTTTGCCTGCATTTCTGCCTGGGAGAAAGCTGCCCCTCCAGCCCTCACCCTGAAGCCAGACAATTTAATTCCTCCCCATATGTCCCTGGCACTTTTTCAGCTGCTGCCCCAGTATAAGAGCATAGAGTGAGTCTGTCAGTGAGAACACCTGGGCCCACTCACTCCTCAGGGGGCACCTCCACAGCAAAGATATCCTGCCTGTTTCTTAGTGGCCACATCACGGCTGTGGGGCCTGCCAGTTACGTGTGTCCATTCCTCCTACCAGTCTCCATGTTGTTTCTTCTGTATATCCTTAATTTTTAGACTTCTGTTCAACTAGTCTTCAGATTGTTCTTAATGATGGTTGTTCTGCATTTTAGTTGTAATTTTGGTGTGCATGAGAGGTGGCAAGCACAGCCTTTACCTGCTCTGCCATCTTGACAGGAATTCTGATTTATATTTTACTCTTTAATGGCTCACAGTACTCTATCATAGTAAATTTTAAATCGTAGATAAGAGATCTAAAATCAGCGTATTTATTGAATGCAAATGCTACTGCTAAAGTAATGCTTAAAAGAGCAGACTTGATTCTTAGGGCTAAATTTTTTCTTTGTTTATATTACTAACTTTTAACCAGTTTTATTTTGTTTGTTTATTTATTTTTATCCTCACCTGAGGACATTCTTGCATTTATCTTCAGATGGGGGGGGGGGGAAGGAGAGAAAGAGAAACATCAATGTGAGAGAGACACACAAGTGGTTGCCACCCACATGACCCCAACTAGGGCCGGGTACAAACCGCAACTGAGGTACGTGCCCTTTAGCGGAAACTAAACCTGGGTCTCTCCGGTCTGCAGGCTGATACTCTAACTGCTGAGCCAAACCAGCCAGGGCAAAACCAACTTTATTTTGCATAGCAACTGCAAAGGTAAACTGAAGTTCTACATGGCTAAATTGTCATATAATCAAAATACTCACAATTAAAAAAATTTAAAGTAAAATTTAATTTACTAATGACTATAATTAAAACAGAATTCTTGAACAATGAACACTGTTAACATTACTCTCACACAGGTGCCTTTAGGCACAGTAGTATCTGTATATCTCTTGGGGATTTGGGAACCAAAGGGATGATAAAACCATGATAGTCATTCTCCTATACATGCCTTTGCCCATTTCTTCATGTTATTAGAGTTCCTCAGCTTCAGGCCCTCAGCAGTATTCCTCTCTACTATTTGCCTCGAGTGATTTTCTCTATATCCATGGTTTTACATTTCCTCTATTTGCTAAAAAAGACTTTTCTCTTTAATATTTAAGTTTTAAGGAAGATTACTCAAGTACTTACCAACCCATAGGTCCCATTGTTTCTGCTCTTGTTTTCCCACGTTTTGCTTCTTTAAGCAGTTCTTCGATTGCTTTCCTAGTGGGAAAAAGGAAGACAATTGAAAGAAGTCACCCTACTAAATTCTGAAAATCAATTTATTCCACGTATGCTATCTTTGGAAAGGAACAGCTCTGAAACATAAAATTTCAAAATTGGGGGAGACATTTTTTTAAATGGCTGGCAGTTTTGAACACATACAAATTATAAATAAATTTTTTATATGAAGGGGAAAAACACTGAAAAGAAAACTAAAGACAAAATGACAAACTATATCCATATTAAAAATGTTCAAATGCATTCTTCTAAGAAATACAAATTAACCCAACAATAATTAATCTGTTTTTTGCTTATCTGTTAGGGAGTAGAGAAATGGATATGTATTTATCTACTAATGGGGACTGAAGCTGATATAACATTTCTTTCTTTCTTTTTTTATTTTATTATTTTTTTGTACATGCCCCTAGTGGGAACCGAACCTGGGACTCTCTGGTCCGCAGGCCGACGCTCCAACCGCTGAGCTAAACTGGCCAGGGCTGATATAACATTTCTAAAGGACAATTTGACAACATGATAAACAGTTTTAGAAATAATGCATACTGCCCTGGTAGGTTTGGCTCAGCGGTTAGAGCATCAGCCCGCAGACCAACGAGTCCTGGGTTCGAGTCCAGTCAAGGGCACTTACCTCAGTTTCAGTTTGTCCCTGGCCCTGGTTGGGTCATGCGGGAGGCAACCAGTCGGTATGTCTCTCTTACACCAATGTTCCCCACCCTTCTCCCACGCTATCTGATGATGAATAGAAAAATATCCTCAGGTGAGGATTAAAAATAATAATAATAATGCATATCTGTTGACCTAAAAATTCCACATTACCCTGTGAAATATTCAAATAAGTATTCAAAATCATATGTACGAACATACTCATTAAACAACTTAACAACTGAAAAAGAACAGAAAACTTAAATGTTTACTAAAAAAGACTTAGCTAAATAGATCATGGCATATCCACAACAGCAGAAGATAAGGTAGTCATTAAAACTGAAGACAAATGAATACTTGGCACAGAAAGATATTCATAACACATTTAGTTTATAAAGCTGGGGACAAAACAGTGTACATGTGTGGACAAAAGTAGGTTTACAGTTGTGAGTATATAAAATAATTTATTCTTATATTCTCATTTGTTAATTATTGTACTATTTACTATGAACAATTGTAAATCTACTTTTGTCAACCCCTGTATATAAGATAATTTTATTTTACATTTATTTACACATATGTATTGCATAGGAAAACATCTGGAGAAATGTTATCAATATGGTAAGGTAAGTTTGGGGGTAATTTCTGGTTTTTTGTTTGTTTCTCTGAATTTTCTATTTTTTGTAGAGTAAATCTGTATTAGCTGTGTAATATTTATAAAGAGAGTTAAAAACACTCAAAAACTTATTTATCAACCATATTCTGGGACTTTACATGCCTAAGATACTGTGCAAGGTGCTATATAGGAAGAATGTCATCCCTGACTTTATTACTTCTGACATATAAATAAAAAAGTTAAGAAAAAAAGGAAAGTAAGAGTGCAAACAAATACAGTCCAAAGACAGAACTATAAACCTAATCAGAATGTTTTGAAACTATATAACTGTATATTGATTCTATATATAAAAATATTTAATTATATATACTGTTATAGTAGTACTATATATATTACTTACATACTTCTCAAATGATATTAACATTATTAGTTCATAAATATTTTATTTTATATTGATTTTTATTTTATCAAAGCATGCACATAGCTTAAAAAGACAAATACTATTTAGAGACTTGTAATAAAATACAGCAGTTTTCTGCATCATCCTTCCCTATCCACCCTTAATTTTTTTTTTCAACTATTTTTTATCTGTTTCTCTTGGCATTTACTTACATATTTCGAATAGTATGCTTTCAAACTATTTCACCACTCTCTTAATCTTCAATAGATATATCTGGCTATTTTTCTATAACTTACACATTTTTAAAAAATAAACTCTTATTAACAGTGAGACCTTTAAAAAATGCCTTTTCAGCTAACTCAGCAGCATGACACTTTCTAATCCGTCCTGGGAGAGCCCACTGACAGGGTCAATGAAGAACTAAAACACTGACCAATTGTGCACCTTCTTACCCCCTGACTCGCTCAATCAGGTTATGTTTCACAGCCCAACCTGCTGGTGTAATGAGTAGATAAATGCATCTGATTACCACACGTGGTTCTCCTTCCACCTCTTTAAGATAATAATAAATCCTATTGATGTGATCTGAGGGCTTTATCTCATATACTATTTCATGAAAAATGTATCCTATCCAGCTCCCAAACAGAGATCTCTTTATCACCCTTGTAGATGTAAGTACAAATCATCAAAGGGTAAAAATATTCCAAATACACCCCCTTATTCCCATCAACTAGTGTGGTAGTTTCCAAATGAAAACAGGTAATCAATCATACTTGGATTCACCATGTGCTTCTCCTCCTGACAACAAAAGCAGTTAAAAATCATTAGGGGAAAACTTGTTAGGACAGTTCCCCAATATGAACAAGCTATGTATCCATTACAAATAAACTAGAATGCACTTTCCCATAAAAACTCTGTTAAAATGTTTGGCTAGCTTTCTGGACCAGCCTACAAAAGCCAATTTATGTCATAATACAGCTGAAATGCTATACATCTGAGGGAAACAATACTCAGTCAGGAACCTTGTAGGGACCCTGAAGGCATATTCTAGGCACTGTCAAGACCTATGAAGTTTGACATTATTTCTTCTGTAGTTTTGATGTATTTAAAACTATCTCCAGCACTGTGATTAACTTTATCTGCTGCGATGAGGGAAACCTTCTGATTTACAACTACAATTAAAGGGAAAAGAAGGTATATATGTATGAGAAAAACTGCCTGGGGTGAAACGTATTCACCTGTGTTGAAAGATGGTAAAAGGTGGGGCTCAGACAGGGAGGGGTTGGCATTCAGCCACCCCGTCTTCTCATGAGTAAAGCCCACAATAAACATGGGAAGCAGTACCCCATACCTATGGTTGGGGTGGACCCAAGGCATGAGTTTGTACTTGGTTTGACTAACTTGCCCAAGGTAATATTGTTTATGGCTACGAATCTTCTGGTCTTTTTATTATACTTCTTATCTCTGCCACAAACATTTGCACAGCTAGTCCTGGCGAAGACATTTTGTCTTTAGCATTAAAAGAGGCAAAAACTACATAAGAAAAAAAAAAAAGGTCTAACAGAGTTGCCACTGCTTCCATACTCATTCAAGGAGAACTGGGAGACATGCTGACCCTGGAGGGTGGAAGGAATGGACCGCTCACTGCTTTGGTTCTAAGAATGTCGAGCATTTGCTACCTCCCACCCCAAATTCTCCTGTACAGCTCCTTCTGCAAGGTTTTATTTCCAATAAGAAAAACAACAATTCCTAGCATTCATGTAGACTTTCCTTGAAATAATGACATCACCTTCAAAATTAAGGAGGAAAAATAGAAAGTCAGGTAGTTTTCCTCACTACTATAGCCTGGATCATTCGCTAATGAGTTCCTGGGTAAGGAGATAGCAAGCCCAATTTCTACTGCACATTTTCACAGAGGCTAAAATCAAAGATTATGAAACATCAACATCATGAAACATGATTTTTTAACGAAATAATGAAACAGAATGTAAACTAAAATGAAAATACAGGAAGAGTAAACAGTAGGAGAATATATAAGAACTAAGTACATAGAGAACATGAACAATTAAAACATCAGACAAATTCACCCTGGCTGGTTTAGCTCAGCAGTTAGAGCGTCGGCCCATGGACTGAAGGGTCTCGGGTCCGATTCCCGGTTAAGGGCACGTCCTTGAGTTGTGGGTTTGATCCCCAGTCCCGATGAGCAGGAGGCAACCAGTCAATGTCTCTCTCTCACATTTTTGTCCCCCCCCCCCCTTTCCATTCTATCTAAAAATCAACAGAAAAATATCCTTGGGTCAGGATTAAAATAATAAATAAAACATAAGACAAATTTAATTTTAGGTACAGTAATTTTTACACTTATATCCTTTAAGCATCTTAAAGGTTTCTTTGTAAAACAAACTTAAAGTTCAATACAAACAAGTTCAAGAAAGCTAGATCATTAAGCAGACAGAATTCTGGGCACAAGAACAAAGTACAATCAATTTTCAATGATCCACCCTAGCTCAGGCCTGCCTATTCGTTCCATTAGCCAGCTGGTACATGCTTAAAGAATGTAAACTAATCATAATAGCAGCTTAAATAAAATCCAAGTGGGAATGCAAATCTGGTGCAAAATCACCTTAAAATCCAAAGTCTAACAAATTAGTTTTGAGTTATTTGGGTCTGTGTTTTCTTTCTATTCATACAAATCAACTGAGAGTTAACTATATTGTGATACAGAAAGGGTAGCAAGAAATTAAAGGTAAACTAAAGTGATACAACAGACATTAAAAGGCAAATATGTAATGATGAAAAGAGAGATTTTTGAAAGAAACAGAATTAGAAAAGCTAAATATCAAGTAATTGCTCAAAAAGACAGAGACGGAGAGTTAGATGGATCTACGTGTGCTTTCCTGAGAAATGAAGGAAAGTATTATGAACTGAATGTTTGTCACCCCCTCAAAATGTATATACTAAAATCCTAACCCCAGTGTGATAGTGTTAGGCCTTTGGGAGGTTATTAGGTCAGGAGGGTGGAGCCTTCATGATTGGGATTATGTCCTTATGAGAGATCACCAGAGAGCTCCCTGGCTCTCTCTGCTATGTGAGAACACAGAGAAGATGGCTGTCCATGAATCAGAAAACAGGTTGTCACCACACACTGAATCTGCCCACACTTTGGTCTCAGGCTTCTAGTCTCCAGAACTGTCAGAAATAAATGTTGGTTGTTTAAACCACCCAGTCTGTGGTATCTGTTCTAGCAGCCTGCAGAGACTAAGATAGAGAATAAGGAACATATGACTGAACATTAGATGAACATTTTGTGACTCCCTTAAGACT